GCTTGGGACAAAGCTCAAGTCTCGCTGTTTTGAACGCTAAGCATGTTTGGGATTGGATTTTTGAGGGTTTAGGACTGGGTGTCACTAAAAATACGTCAGCCGGTGGGAAGTTGGAAGGGGTAAATGCTCAAGCCTATAAACTTTGATGTTGAACCTGTTTTTGATTTTGTGTTAGGTACTTTTATGAGATGCCACAAGCACAAACTGATATACATAGTATAAATATACTTAAACAAATATTAAGATATATAACTAACTATATATACACAATATGCCTTGTTACTTTGTAAGCAACGGAGTTGAAATGTCAATGTATAATCAAACCTTTGACTTTATTTGGAACGGTTTTGGCAACAAAGAACTCATTGACAGCGAAACATCTTCATCTGAAGAAAGCTACAAAGCAAACTCATCCGTTAACAAGAACACCAATGCTGAATGGAGAAAACAAGATGACGGATATTACAACAGAAAACCGAACGACGAAACGTATTTTCAAAGATATTACCAAGAGAAAACGAAACAACCGTGCGTATGCGCTATATGCGGTTCTGCCATGAGCTGTAAATCAGACTTGACAAAGCACAAGAAAACGAAGCAGTGCCAGAGGTTCTTGGTTTGAGTTCATTATGATTTTATGATGCAAGAAAACATCATAAAACTATAATCTAAGTATTTTTAATGGCAAGATTGGAAAAAGAAAAAGTATTGGACAAAATATACTACGACGTGGAGGAGGGCTTCGGTTCGGTGAGGGACTTATACGAAAAGGCGAGGAAAGTCGATGTGGGCATAACTTTGGATATGGTATCTGCATGGATGAGGGCGCAACCGAACAAGCAAACAAGAAACTACAAGAACTACAATTCCTACACTGCTCTGTTTCCGAAGTATGAATTTCAAATTGACTTGATGGATGTCACGAGTTTGCTGCGAGACGTGGGTTCTGAAATCAAAAGTCAACTACGATATGGTTTAGTTTGCATAGATATTTTCAGCAAAAAATGTCACATAGTCCCTATCGAGAATAAAGATGGTGATGACGTTTGTAAAGCAGTCATGGAGTGTTTCAAGGTATTAGGTCAGCCTTTGTCGATTTACAGCGACGACGAAGGAGCGTTGAACAGCAAGAAGCTGCAAACATTTTTAAAGGAGGAAGGGATAACACACGTAATAACAAAGACGCATGCAAATCAGGCAGAAAGGATGATACGCACGGTCAAAAAAATGATTGCGGACAGATTGAGGCACTACAAAACCAAAACATGGGTGGAAGTGCTAAAGCCCTCGTTGAATAGATACAACAACCAAGTCCATAGTAGCACCAAGACAACACCAAATAATGCGCACAATCTTGATAACGTAATTCAGGTCAGAACAAATCTGATACTGAAAGAAAAGCACAACCGAAAATATCCAAACATAAGTGAAGGAGATTATGTTGAGATATTTGATAAAGGAAAGGGCAACTATGTATCAAGGAAAGAAACTAGAAGTCAATGGAGTGAACGGAAATACAAAGTGATATTAGTTGGTCGTGATATGATGAATAATAGATACTATGAACTAGATGGAATGAACAAAAAATATAATAGGCATGAATTGCTACTTGTATTGGTTGATTAGTAGCTGTTCTTCTTTCTTCTGTTTTCGCTTTTCTCTTCTTTTTGCATTCATTTTATCTTTGTCTCTGTTGTATCTTTCTCGTTATTGTTGTCTTATTGCGTCTTTGTTTTCTGCTCTATGCTTTGAGTTCTTCTCATAATATTTCTCCTTATCTTTGTAGTGTTTTGTCTTTTCTTGTATCTTATTTTTATTGTTCTGATGACGCTGTTTGTATTTTTGTTTGTGTTTTTCAGTATTCTCTTTTTTTTTTGGTTGTTAAAGGTGATGCTCTCTTGTGGCATCGCAATATTCCTTTCTAGTCCTACCAACAATACATTTGCCAAGACAGTTCTTATCATTTTCATTATATTCACCTTCTTTCTTTTCGGGTTGCTTTCTGTTTTGGCATGGGTATTCTTCAATAAGAACTATTTTACGGTTTTCAACATCGAACTCATCGAACGATTTCATAGAGAAAGGATGGCGTTTTTGGGGATTTGTATTGTTTAAGTTTATATAGATAAGATTTACAATCTCTTCTATGTCGTGCCATTCTTTGACTCAGTTATTCAGTTGTTGAATTTATATCCATATATCTTAAATCATCTTTTCGTTACGTAGATAATTTATGGCGTAATGTCCAAACGGGAGACTCTCAAAATCTGAATGCCAGTAGCGTTTATTGTCGTAGTTGCTTAAAGCATATTTAGTTTGATTAATGCTATAGATTTGATGGTTCTTACTTCTGATAGTATTAAAACTGACTTCTTCTTTACAGTTTCTATTCAATGTCTCTTCATAAGTTTTGTAACTTAACTGATTGCTCACTTTATGCTTGACTACTCCTTTACTCTTCTTGTGTTCTTTCTCATCACCATATACTTTATAGCAATATGCTTTTGGTTTTAATCCTATAAAGTGAGTAATTATTTTACCGTTCATTTCATCCTTGAATTTCCCTAATACCTTCTTATTTGTTTTATCATAGTTTGGATGCTCTGGTGGATAATCACTAAAATCCATGTATTCATTAATCTCCTTAAAGTCTTCATATAAGTCATCAGTCTCAACTTTGAATACATAACTATCAGTATCAGTATATACCAACTTAATTCACCCCGCTTCGCGTGGGGTGGCCGCCCACACCGCAGGTTTATTTCGGTCCGTGAGAGGGGCTAAGGGTGGTGTGGAATTTTCACTTTCCCCCGTGGGGGCTCCCCAAGCTAGGGAATTTTCACTTTTCCCCCCCGTGGGGGCTTCCCAAGCTAGGGAATTTTCACTTTTCCCCCCCCGTGGGGGCTCCCCAAGCTAGGGAATTTTCACTTTTCCCCCCCGTGGGGGCTTCCCAAGCTAGGGAATTTTCACTTTTCCCCCCCGTGGGGGCTCCCCAAGCTCCCCCCGTGGGGGCTTCCCAAGCTAGGGAATTTTCACTTTTCCCCGCCGTGACAGCTTCCCAAGCTATGGAATTTTCACTTTTCCCTCCCTTGGAGGCTCTCCAAGCTGCGGAATTTCAAATAGCTAGACAACGACGCCTAGATATTCCCCCAAATCCCGTGTTCTTTGAATGTGTTTCCATGTTTTTGCAATGGTTTCCTTCAAAGCACGGTACTTTACACTTTTGTCGCCATAAAACCGGTCGAAAACATCATGTTCGACAATGCTTCCAATTCCCTTATCTCCCCAACCGTTGAAAATACCGCTATTTACAGTGTTTTATTCAATTTTTCCATGTTCCAATGCCGGTAGCCAACTCCAACATATATATATATATATAAGAAATCCTTCCAAAACATTGTTTTTGACAGTGTTTTTCCAATGTTTCCAGTCAAACAGACGGTAATTTACACGTTTTTTGCCATAAAGGAAGTAAATCCTTCCAAAACATTGCTTTTGACAGTGTTTTTGTGATGCTTCCAGTCAAGCATACGGTAATTTACACGTTTTTTGCTATAACGTCAGTCCAAAACACTTGTTTTTGCAGTGTTTTCAATGCCCTGGCATCCAAAAACCCTGCAAAATCTTGCTATGTACAATGTTTTTTTCATTTTTGGCCGGTTTTCCATTGCCGGAAAGCTACCAAAATGACCCAAAATTCAATTTCAATACCCTCTTGCGCTCAGACACCCAAAAATCCTCGTTTAGTGTAGCTGTTTGCCCCCCAATAAGCACGCCTTCACCGCCAAAGCGGTGTGGGCGGATTCTATTAACATAGACCCGGGCAAGCCGGCGGCGGAAGTTTCCCAAACATAAATGACCTATAGTTCAAAGACAACCTGTCCCGACCGTGTGTAGCGCACCAAGATGCATCGAAAGGGGACTGGCGCGATAGTTGAAACTTTTCTTCTTGTTTGTTTGTCCTGGTTTTAAGTTGATTGGTTCTACATTGCTCCAGGTGACAGCTAGGTGTTGCACATGAAGTGCATGGTTGACCGGTTGCAAGTGTGCACCGCGTAGCCATTTTGGCTCAAGGCAGGTGAGTCTGATTCATTGATTTACAATCAACTTTGTGCATTCGACTTGAGCTTAGCGGGTTGGTGTTGCCCTGTTCGACCCATTGCCGCGCATGCTGCGCCCGATTCGCCAAAGCCTATGGAGAATGCGTGCAATGTAGCTGAAGTATCCGCAGTAGCAGTAGGTAGCACTGAAGATATTTCACCCGCCGAACCAGTTTTGCCTCGAGGGGTCGTAGCTGCTGAGGGCCCCAACCAAGAAACCTTCCGGTACTTTATTTGTATCACAAAAAACCGGCGCTTGCGTAGGCTTCATCGTTGGGATGGCTGTGGCACCAAGCCAGCGTCATGTTCAGTACAGGTTGAAGGTATTGATTGTCTTGACGGCGTCCAGTATGATGCAGCTTGCAAACATTGCTGGCCCCGTGGACAGAAGCCAGGTGTTGAGTCAGACGAGGATGACTCAGGCTCTTCGTCAGACAGCACAGATGGCAGCCTAGCATCTGATGATTAATATGTGTTTTAGTGGCCAAGTCCGCTAGGTGTACACACGTGCTTGCTGAAAGGGGACCAATGTTTGGCCCTTTGCCATTGCTCGTAGCTAACGCAAAGTGGATTGTGTTAGGACTTTGAGCTAGATTGGCAATGGTTTTCATCTCATGCTTGAGATTTCTCTGAAGTTGGCCAGAGCTGCTTTCTAATTCTGGTTGCTAACACAATGGTGGTTGTGTTATGGCTTCATCTCATGCTAGAGATTCCTTTCATGTTGAGTTGGGATATGTTCATCCGCCAACTTTGATTTCTATACTTGATCGCATGTGTTTGTTCCGGCCGGGGCACGTTCTTTAGCGCGGCATGCTGCATGCGCTATGTTTGCTTGGCCAGCTTGTGATCATTGTGTATGTTCTTCAATTACGTCAATTGAGCTTGTTAACTGTTGACATCATGCCTTTGATTTCTTTATCTGATGAAGAGCGCTCAGCAGCGTTGAAGACTGCATTACCTGACTTGAAGTACCACTTGTCTGAGGTGAAAGTCCCTGTGGAGGTGCAAGCCGCTTTGTTCCACAAAGGCTTTGTGGATTTGCAGCTTTTTGCCGGGCTGGATGAATCCCGCTTGGAAGTGCGCAATGCTCTTGCTGTTGAAATTGGCTTAAAGCACGACGAGTGCACCGATGCCCGCCAAAATGTTGCCCGGCTTTTATCTGCATGGGAATCTTCTCGTGCGCAGCTGGTGGCTGAGGACAAGATGAAGGCTGAAAGCAAGCTCGGCCAAACGCCTCGGATTGTGCAGTGCTCCGAGATGGCAGCTTTGCGCAAAGCGGTGGAGGCTGATCTTGGCAAGTTACAGGACGATGAGGTCCCTGCCAAGTCTCTGATTGCCACCAAGTTGGAACAGATTGAATCTGGCGACCTACGTGCCGAAGACTTACGTGAGGTCCTTTGCGTGGAAGACACAGATGTTGATCTCTTTAGTGGCATCATTGAGCATGGCACCGGCAATCTCAAGATCAAGCCGGGGAAGGCGAGCATTGCTATGCCATCAACTCCAGAAGAGTTGAGGCTACGACATCGCCGCATTGGCATTGCATGGCTGATGGTGGGTTCCAAGCACAAGAACCAATCCTGGATCACGCCTGCCTTGTTGGAAGCGTTTCGCCGTTTTTCTGACCATATTGTGGGCAGGCACATTGCAGGTTTTCCGATCATGGCCCAGGGAGTGACAAGGCACCCAGCTTGGAATTTGGTGTTATCTTATGAGCTAGAAGTACGCAAAAGGGCTTACAAGCAGCTGCGCGATGGCAAGCATTCATCTTTGCAAGAAGCTTTGGAAGATGCGTGGAATTCTGCTGAGCTGATCAACAAGCATTTTTTGGTTCCTCTGACTGCATCTGCTGACTTCTTCAGCACGGCCAGTCACGGTGAGGTGTTTACTGCCCATGGCAAAGGTAGTGGCAAGCATGGGAAAGGTAAAGGCAAGGGCAAAGACAGGCGTTTGGTCTCCAAGCAGTTCCTCAAATCTAGATCGGAAGAGGGTAAAAGGCTTTGCTTCAGATTCAACAATGGCACATGCAAGGAAAAACATTGCTCTTTTCACCATGCTTGCCAAATCTGCCTTGGAGAAGGCCATGGGAAGAAAGATTGCCCGAGTCATCCAAAGAGCATGTTGCAGTCACCAGCTTGAACGGCTGCAGGGGCCCAACCGGCTGATGGGCCCCGCCAGGAATCAATTTTGTCAGCCGAAAAAGTCAGTGCCGCGCTTCCCTCGCCTGCGGTGGGGCATTCATGTTCGGGACAGCGCGTCAGCTCTAGTGTTGATACAGATTTGCTTGATGGTGAAGAAGAGTCAGCATGGTTTCATCAAGCAGTCGGTGGCTGCGGACCTCCTTTGAAGTCACACATGATGGGTAAAAGCAAACCATTTGTTGACGGTAGTGGTTTGTGCTCGCCCGGACGGTGGAGCCCATGCGCTCGTCATGTGAAGCCGATAGGTGCGCAATGCTTTGCAGGTCTGCAGACAGTGTTGGACAAGCACACGGACGGGCGTAGACTTCTTTTTGAGTTGGCTTGCAAAAAACATGTGGACCAGCCTTTCCCTGCAGCACTGGTGAAAGAAGCTAGGGAGGCTGTCAAAGGCATTCTGAGAAAACATGGTGCGCAGCTTGATTTAGATGCAATTCCAGAGCGACAGCCTTTCCATCTTGCTTTGCTTGAAGAGTTTCTGCGTCTCTGCAACGATCCTGATGCTTCAGCGTATTTTTCAGGCAAGGATTCATTTGCTGCGGGCGTGTCTTTAGGTGTGAATCAGAAGATGCCGCGAACTCCAGCTGTTTTCGAGAAAAAATGCTAATGGCGTGCCTATGACGGGGAAACTACAGCAGCGGATGTTTTCCGGAACAACTATCCTGGCGCGGCAGAAAATGCAAAGGCGATTGAAGCACAATTCGTAGAAGAAGCCAAGTTAGGTGCGATGGTGAAGATGGAAGTTGAGGAGGCGTCAAGGATCTATGGTGAAAATTTGAGGGTAGCTTCGCTTGGTGCAATCCGGAAAGCTGATGACAGCTTCCGTGTAGTCCATGATGGAACACACGGCATAGGGGTCAATGGTAATATCAAGGTGCGTGACCAGATTGCATGCCCAAGTGCAGGTGATTTGCGGCAGGTGCTACAGGTGCTGGAGAAGCCGACTTTTGTTTTGACAGCAGACATCAAGCGCGCGCACAGGCTTGTGAAGATCAAGCCAGAAGACTGGGGGCTGCAAGCATGTAGGACAGACGAATCTTCTTCATTTGTCTGGCTGAATACTGTAGGCACTTTTGGCGTTGCGTCAGCTGCAGTACATTGGTCGCATCTTTTCAGTGGAATACAGCGGGCGGTGTACTATTTAACTGGTACTTTGAAGCTGTTTCTCCTCACCTATGTTGATGATTTGCTGTTCATTACACAAGGAAAAGCTGCAACGGATGCAATTGTAGTTGCTCTTCTGTTTATGGTAGTCTTGGGCGTTCCCTTCAGCTGGCATAAGTGCAAGGGGGGCACACAGGTCGAATGGGTAGGCTACTACGTGGATCTGGAACAGAAGTCTGTTGGTATTAGTGAAAAACGTGCAGATTGGATTTGCAACTGGGTTGAGACAACTGTGGCAGCAGGCGTGGTGAAATTGCATGACTTTTCTGCAGTGCTAGGTCGGCTTTCTTTTGCAATGGCGGCAATTGAGCACCTCAGGCCTTTTCTGGGGCCACTGTACGCATGGTCTGCAGCCCTGGAAAACGTGGTTCATGCTCGCTTGCCTAAAGCTGTTATCTACATCTTGCGTTTCATTGAACATATGCTGAAACATGGATGGCGTACTCGCCCAGTGGGACCTCTGCAAGAAGCTCGTAGGGAATTATTCAGGGCAGATGCAAAAGCCGAAGGTGAAGTGATTTGCATCGGTGGCTGGGCAGTTGAGGACGGTCCGGATACAAAATCATGTAGATGGTTCAGTGAAAGGTTGACGCGGTCAAATGCACCTTGGGCTTTCTTGGCTGGGGAATCTTTCCGAGCCATTGCATCACTGGAATTGTTTGCCACCTTAGTGAGCCTGGTCCTCTTCAAGCCTGCGTGCTACAAAGGTTCAATGAAAATTTCAGCTGGAACTGATAACTTGGGAAATACACATCTCATCGCTCGGTTGATGAGCACCAAATTCCCATTGTGCGCTATTTTGATGGAAGTGGCGGCAGTTCTCATGGACGGCAATCATGATCTGCAGTTGGAATGGCTTCCTCGTCTCCAAAACCAGGAGGCAGACAATCTCACAAATGAGATTTTTCACGGTTTCAGTGAGGATCGCAGGCTGCGGTTTCATATGGAGGAGTATGAAGGTTTAGTCTTACAGGCAATGTTGAATTTGGGCATGGAATTGTACGAGGACGTGCGGAAAGCACGTGACCGCAAGGTGAGCCAGACCAAGCGGGTGAAGACTGGCGAGCCTCTGCGTGTGAGAGACCCTTGGGGCTGAGAGTTGATAGGTAGAAACCTGCTTGCCGAGTCAAGCGATTCAACCGTACCATAATATATTGTTTGAGGCATGGGTCGCCTGCGGTTGGGAGTTAGGTGAGCGCCCATGCTGGGTTGCTTTGCACATCTGTAGGACATGTGTTTTGTCCTACATGGTCTATTTTGCCTCTGGCCATGTCTTGGCTATATGACATATGGTATGTCTTATGGTATATTAATTCCCACACCGCTAGAAAAAAGAAGGGCGAGTCATTGTGCGTGTCATCTAAGGCTAGGGTTGGCTGGGCGGTAGTTCTAACTAGAGTAGAAGTCCCGTGTAGTGCACCAAGATGCATCGAAAGGGGACTGGCGCGATAGTTGAAACTTTTCTTCTTGTTTGTTTGTCTGTCCTGGTTTTAAGTTGATTGGTTCTACATTGCTCCAGGTGACAGCTAGGTGTTGCACATGAAGTGCATGGTTGACCGGTTGCAAGTGTGCACCGCGTCTATTTAGCTGCAACCTTGTGTTTTTCGCGCCCCGCCCTCTGCCACCCTACGGCGCGTGAGTTAGGTGAGCGCCCATGCTGGGTTGCTTTGCACATCTGTAGGACATGTGTTTTGTCCTACATGGTCTATTTTGCCTCTGGCCATGTCTTGGCTATATGACATATGGTATGTCTTATGGTATATTAATTCCCACACCGCTAGAAAAAAGAAGGGCGAGTCATTGTGCGTGTCATCTAAGGCTAGGGTTGGCTGGGCGGTAGTTCTAACTAGAGTAGAAGTCCCGGTGGACTGGGCTGGCTGCGGTCTGCTTGTTGCCCGTTGTGCTGGCTGCAGCCATGCCTGTGTGGCAAAGTATTTTGCAGGGAAAAAGTGTGTTGTTTGTGTTTGGCAGTTTGGTGCCCTTTTTATGGTGGGTTGGAAAATCAGCTTTTGATGCATGCCTGTGGAGCTATCATGGGAACACGCGCGGCCGTGCTGGCCTTTGTCAAGGGGCTGCTACAAGGTCAATGGTTACGGTGAGAAATCTATTACAAAAGTGAGTGCATGAAATCTCTCGGTCGTGACAGTATTGCAGAGACTGGTTCCGTTTTTGGGGTATTGAAATCGCATTTGGCCGCACAATGGTTTGCAATTATTCTTTGCGCTGCCTTGTGATCTTGCTGGCCCTGGCTGCATCGTCAGTTGCTGCCCAGCAAGCCGATAGCTTGTCGCAAGAGCAGCTCAAACCGCTAACGGAGTATCGGCAGCAGCATCGCCGCCTGGTGCAGACAGCCTTTGCCGAATGATGCTGATGCCGCAGCCGGGCTTTTTTGTTTTTCTTCTTTGTGAGAAGCAGGTGGACGGGCGGCTTTGCGCAGCAGCCTTTGTGCAGGTTGAGAGTTGCGAATTTGCTTCCTGCTGAAGCGCGTGCAACCATGGTTTTCGCCTCCATGCTCAGAAGACTCACGCGTTTACACTGGCTGCACTGACGTCACAGCCTGAGACGCTTTCCTCTCACCTCATGTCTGGTGTGCTTGCTGCAGCTGTTTCGCCCTGCAGGCGCCTAACCCTCAAGGAGCCAGCGGCCGGGAATGGTGCTACATTGAGCCGCAGGCTGGGTTGTGCTGCTTGGCAAATGCTTTGCTGCCTGGCTGGTGCATGTGGCAGCTGGCAAGTGGGCTGAGCGAAGCGGCGTGGGGATTCTGCGGTGCGCACTGCTTCTCCTTCCCCTTTCCTGCACGGGTGAACGTGGGCATTTGGTTTTGTTGCGTTAGCGCCAGGATGGCTGTTGTAATGCATGCTCACCAAGAACAAGCGGGTGTTAGATATAGCCTTTGTGTTTGCTGGCAGTTGTAGATTATGAAGCCCTTCGAGAAGAAGCAGCTCATGCTGCCAAAGCAAAGGCGCAAACAATGCGAGAATATGTGGCCAAGCTTGGCAAAGCACAGCGCGCCGCAGAAGAAACGCTGGAGATGTGAGCTTTTGATCCCATGACAGCAGGGCCAGAGTTAGTTGGCCAATGATGTTTTGCAGGTATCGCCGAAGATGTGGTGCTTGAGCTAGGTACAAAAAGCCCGATGCATGCAGAACAGCAAGCCTCCGAGAAAGGCTCAGCAGCAACCCAAATCAAACTGACAGTTGGATATTTTGGAATGGTTGGATGCAAGCGGTGAAATGTATATGCCATACTTACTTGCTACAAGGCCATACTTGCTCCTTTTTCCTTTCTTGTGCAGCAACCTTCTTCCACAAAACCGCATGATCTTGAAACAGTGGCAGTTTCATGAAGCTGCGACTATCCGCAGACACGTGCGAGATCTTGTTAATTAGTACATGCGACCTAGAGAATATCTTGGGTTCATTCAACCAAAGCAGGACAATTGACGGCAGAAATCCAAATCACATGGATAGACACTGGTAGAAATTCAATCCGAATCCTTGTTTCAGTGCTTGCTTACACACCTTAGGTCCATTGCCTTCTAATTGCGAAGTTTGAAAGATTGGCACTGCGTGAACTTCATGGACACACATCATGATTTTCCTAAGCAAGTGGACAGCAGTTGGTGCAAGAAGCGGTAAAAGCAACCTTACACACAGGAGCACATTGTTGGCTTCTCGCTGCGACAGAGTTTGTACGTAAGTTTGCACTGTGGCGGCTGCGGCAGGTTTGGTGGCAGTTTTTCTTTTGCGATTTTGTGCTGGAATTCCTTCTGTGGAAAACGCTTCTGACAATAATGTCGGCAGTGGGGGCCCAGGGGCACTGGGCTGGGCTGGGATACGGCCAGTGCGCCTGTGTAACCCAACTGAATGTTGTCCTGTGCGTTGGCTGTGAATTGTTTTTTTCTGTGTTGCTTGTGTTGGCTTTGCTTGCTCGGAGTACATGTGCAGACCTGCTGCTTTGGCAGCTTGGTTGGGTGGTAGGGAAGCTGTAGAAAAGCGCTTGCTCAATTGAGGCATGTGTTGCTTGTTCTACACCCAAAGCCCCCTTTGGTGGACTGGGCTGGCTGCGGTCTGCTTGTTGCCCGTTGTGCTGGCTGCAGCCATGCCTGTGTGGCAAAGTATTTTGCAGGGAAAAAGTGTGTTGTTTGTGTTTGGCAGTTTGGTGCCCTTTTTATGGTGGGTTGGAAATCAGCTTTTGATGCATGCCTGTGGAGCTATCATGGGAACACGCGCGGCCGTGCTGGCCTTTGTCAAGGGGCTGCTACAAGGTCAATGGTTACGGTGAGAAATCTATTACAAAAGTGAGTGCATGAAATCTCTCGGTCGTGGCAGTATTGCAGAGCCTGGTTCAGTTTTTGGGGTATTGAAATCGCATTTGGCCGCACAATGGTTTGCAATTATTCTTTGCGCTGCCTTGTGATCTTGCTGGCCCTGGCTGCATCGCCAGTTGCTGCCCAGCAAGCCGATAGCTTGTCGCAAGAGCAGCTCAAACCGCTAACGGAGTATCGGCAGCAGCATCGCCGCCTGGTGCAGACAGCCTTTGCCGAATGATGCTGATGCCGCAGCCGGGCTTTTTTGTTTTTCTTCTTTGTGAGAAGCAGGTGGACGGGCGGCTTTGCGCAGCAGCCTTTGTGCAGGTTGGGAGTTGCGAATTTGCTTCCTGCTGAAGCGCGTGCAACCATGGTTTTCGCCTCCATGCTCAGAAGACTCACGCGTTTACACTGGCTGCACTGACGTCACAGCCTGAGACGCTTTCCTCTCACCTCATGTCTGGTGTGCTTGCTGCAGCTGTTTCGCCCTGCAGGCGCCTAACCCTCAAGGAGCCAGCGGCCGGGAATGGTGCTACATTGAGCCGCAGGCTGGGTTGTGCTGCTTGGCAAATGCTTTGCTGCCTGGCTGGTGCATGTGGCAGCTGGCAAGTGGGCTGAGCGAAGCGGCGTGGGGATTCTGCGGTGCACACTGCTTCTCCTTCCCCTTTCCTGCACGGGTGAACGTCGGCATTTGGTTTTGTTGCGTCAGCGCCAGGATGGCTGTTGTAATGCATGCTCACCAAGAACAAGCGGGTGTTAGATATAGCCTTTGTGTTTGCTGGCAGTTGTAGATTATGAAGCCCTTCGAGAAGAAGCAGCTCATGCTGCCAAAGCAAAGGCGCAAACAGTGCGAGAATATGTGGCCAAGCTTGCAAAGCACAGCGCGCCGCAGAAGAAACGCTGGAGATGTGAGCTTTTGATCCCATGAAAGCAGGGCCAGAGTTATTTGGCCAATGATGTTTTGCAGGTATCGCCGAAGATGCAGTGCTTGAGCTAGGTACAAAAAGCCCGATGCATGCCGAACAGCAAGCCTCCGAGAAAGGCTCAGCAGCAACGCAAATCAAACTTACAGTTGGATACTTTGGAATGGTGGGATGCAAGCGGTGAAACGTATATGCCATACTTGCTACAAGGCCATACTTGCTCCTTTTTCCTTTCTTGTGCAGCAACCTTCTTCCACAAAACCGCATGATCTTGAAACAGTGGCAGTTTCATGAAGCTGCGACTATCCGCAGACACTTGCGAGATCTTGTTAATTAGTACATGCGACCTAAAGAACATCTTGGGTTCATTCAACCAAAGTGTGACCATTGACGGCGGAAATCCAAATCACATGGATAGACATTGGTAGAAATTCAATCCGAATCCTTGTTTCAGCGCTTGCTTGCGCACCTTAGGTTCATTGCCTTCTAGTTGCGAAATTTGAAAGACGGAATCCTGGCATTGCGTGAACTTCATGGACACACATCATGATTTTCCCAAGCAAGTGGAAAAAGGTCTTTTGCGATTTCGTACTGAAATTCGTTCTGTGGAAAACGCTTCTGACAATAATGTCGGCAGTGGGGGCCCAGGGGCACTGGGCTGGGCTGGGATACGGCCAGTGCGCCTGTGTAACCTAACTAAATGTTGTCCTGTGCGTTGGCTGTGAATTGTTTTTTTCTGTGTTGCTTGTGTTGGCTTTGCTTGCTCGGGGCACATGTGCAGACCTGCTGCTTTGGCAGCTTGGTTGGGTGGTAGGGCAGCTGTAGAAAAGCGCCTCCCCAATTAAGGCATGTGTTGCTTGTTCTACACCCAAAACCTCCTTTGGTGGACTGGGCTGGCTGCGGTCTGCTTGTTGCCCGGTGTGCTGGCTGCAGCCATGCCTGTGTGGCAAAGTATTTTGCAGGGAAAAAGTGTGTTGTTTGTGTTTGGCAGTTTGGTGCCTTTTGGTATAGTGGGTTGGAAATCAGCTTTTGATGCATGCCTGTGGAGCTATCATGGGAACACGCGTGGCCGTGCTGGCCTTTGTCAAGGGGCTGCTTGAAGGTCACTGGTTACGGTGGGGGATCTATTAAAAAGGTGAGTGCATGAAATCTCTCGGTCGTGGCAGTATTGCAGAGCCTGGTTCAGTTTTTGGGGTATTGAAATCGCATTTGGCCGCACAATGGTTTGCAATTATTCTTTGCGCTGCCTTGTGATCTTGCTGGCCCTGGCTGCATCGCCAGTTGCTGCCCAGCAAGCCGATAGCTTGTCGCAAGAGCAGCTCAAACCGCTAACGGAGTATCGGCAGCAGCATCGCCGCCTGGTGCAGACAGCCTTTGCCGAATGATGCTGATGCCGCAGCCGGGCTTTTTTGTTTTTCTTCTTTGTGAGAAGCAGGTGGTCGGGCGGCTTTGCGCAGCAGCCTTTGTGCAGGTTGAGAGTTGAGAATTTGCTTCCTGCTGAAGCGCGTGCAACCATGGTTTTCGCCTCCATGCTCAGAGGACTCACGCGTTTACACTGGCTGCACTGACGTCACAGCCTGAAACGCTTTCCTCTCACCTCATGTCTGGTGTGCTTGCTGCAGCTGTTTCGCCCTGCAGGCGCCTCAAGGAGCCAGCGGCCGGGAATGGTGCTACATTGAGCCGCAGGCTGGGTTGTGCTGCTTGGCAAATGCTTTGCTGCCTGGCTGGTGCATGTGGCAGCTGGCAAGTGGGCTGAGCGAAGCGGCGTGGGGATTCTGCGGTGCACACTGCTTCTCCTTCCCCTTTCCTGCACGGGTGAACGTCGGCATTTGGTTTTGTTGCGTCAGCGCCAGGATGGCTGTTGTAATGCATGCTCACCAAGAACAAGCGGGTGTTAGATATAGCCTTTGTGTTTGCTGGCAGTTGTAGATTATGAAGCCCTTCGAGAAGAAGCAGCTCATGCTGCCAAAGCAAAGGCGCAAACAGTGCGAGAATATGTGGCCAAGCTTGCAAAGCACAGCGCGCCGCAGAAGAAACGCTGGAGATGTGAGCTTTTGATCCCATGAAAGCAGGGCCAGAGTTATTTGGCCAATGATGTTTTGCAGGTATCGCCGAAGATGCAGTGCTTGAGCTAGGTACAAAAAGCCCGATGCATGCCGAACAGCAAGCCTCCGAGAAAGGCTCAGCAGCAACGCAAATCAAACTTACAGTTGGATACTTTGGAATGGTGGGATGCAAGCGGTGAAACGTATATGCCATACTTGCTACAAGGCCATACTTGCTCCTTTTTCCTTTCTTGTGCAGCAACCTTCTTCCACAAAACCGCATGATCTTGAAACAGTGGCAGTTTCATGAAGCTGCGACTATCCGCAGACACTTGCGAGATCTTGTTAATTAGTACATGCGACCTAAAGAACATCTTGGGTTCATTCAACCAAAGTGTGACCATTGACGGCGGAAATCCAAATCACATGGATAGACATTGGTAGAAATTCAATCCGAATCCTTGTTTCAGCGCTTGCTTGCGCACCTTAGGTTCATTGCCTTCTAGTTGCGAAATTTGAAAGACGGAATCCTGGCATTGCGTGAACTTCATGGACACACATCATGATTTTCCCAAGCAAGTGGAAAAAGGTCTTTTGCGATTTCGTACTGAAATTCGTTCTGTGGAAAACGCTTCTGACAATAATGTCGGCAGTGGGGGCCCAGGGGCACTGGGCTGGGCTGGGATACGGCCAGTGCGCCTGTGTAACCCAACTAAATGTTATGCTGTGTATTGGCTGTGAATTGTTTTTTTCTGTGTTGCTTGTGTTGGCTTTGCTTGCTCGGGGCACATGTGCAGACCTGCTGCTTTGGCAGCTTGGTTGGGTGGTAGGGCAGCTGTAGAAAAGCGCCTCCCCAATCAAGGCATGTGTTGCTTGTTCTACACCCAAAACCCCCTTTGGTGGACTGGGCTGGCTGCGGTCTGCTTGTTGCCCGTTGTGCTGGCTGCAGCCATGCCTGTGTGGCAAAGTATTTTGCAGGGAAAAAGTGTGTTGTTTGTGTTTGGCAGTTTGGTGCCTTTTAGTATAGTGGGTTGGAAATCAGCTTTTGATGCATGCCTGTGGAGCTATCATGGGAACACGCGCGGCCGTGCTGGCCTTTGTCAAGGGGCTGCTACAAGGTCAATGGTTACGGTGAGAAATCTATTACAAAAGTGAGTGCATGAAATCTCTCGGTCGTGACAGTATTGCAGAGACTGGTTCCGTTTTTGGGGTATTGAAATCGCATTTGGCCGCACAATGGTTTGCAATTATTCTTTGCGCTGCCTTGTGATCTTGCTGGCCCTGGCTGCATCGCCAGTTGCTGCCCAGCAAGCCGATAGCTTGTCGCAAGAGCAGCTCAAACCGCTAACGGAGTATCGGCAGCAGCATCGCCGCCTGGTGCAGACAGCCTTTGCCGAATGATGCTGATGCCGCAGCCGGGCTTTTTTGTTTTTCTTCTTTGTGAGAAGCAGGTGGACGGGCGGCTTTGCGCAGCAGCCTTTGTGCAGGTTGAGAGTTGAGAATTTGCTTCCTGCTTAAGCGCGTGCAACCATGGTTTTCGCTTGTATGCTCAGAGGACTCACGCGTTTACACTGGCTGCACTGACGTCACAGCCTGAGACGCTTTCCTCTCACTCATGTCTGGTGTGCTTGCTGCAGCTGTTTCGCCCTGCAGGCGCCTAACCCTCAAGGAGCCAGCGGCCGGGAATGGTGCTACATGGAGCCGCAGGCTGGGTTGCGCTGCTTGGCAAATGCTTTGCTGCCTGGCTGGTGCATGTGGCAGCTGGCAAGTGGGCTGAGCAAAGCGGCGTGGGGATTCTGCGGTGCGCACTGCTTCTCCTTCCCCTTTCCTGCACGGGTGAACGTGGGCATTTGGTTTTGTTGCGTCAGCGCCAGGATGGCTGTTGTAATGCATGCTCACCAAGAACAAGCGGGTGTTAGATAGCCTTTGTGTTTGCTGGCAGTTGTAGATTATGAAGCCCTTCGAGAAGAAGCAGCTCATGCTGCCAAAGCAAAGGCGCAAACAGTGCGAGAATATGTGGCCAAGCTTGGCAAAGCACAGCGCGCCGCAGAAGAAACGCTGGAGATGTGAGCTTTTGATCCGATGACAGCGGGGCCAGAGTTAGGTGGCCAATGATGTTTTGCAGGTATCGCCGAAGATGTGGTGCTTGAGCTAGGTACAAAAAGCCCGATGCATGCAGAACAGCAAGCCTCCGAGAAAGGCTCAGCAGCAACCCAAATCAAACTTTGCAATGGTGGGATGCAAGCGGTGAAACGTATATGCCATACTTGCTACAAGGCCATACTTGCTCCTTTTTCCTTTCTTGGGCAGCAATCTTCTTCCACGAAACCGCATGATCTTGAAACAGTGGCAGTTTCATGAAGCTGCGACTATCCGCAGACACGTGCGAGATCTTGTTAATTAGTACATGCGACCTAGAGAATATCTTGGGTTCATTCAACCAAAGTGTGACCATTGACGGCGGAAATCCAAATCACATGGATAGACATTGGTAGAAATTCAATCCGAATCCTTGTTTCAGCGCTTGCTTGCACACCTTAGGTCCATTGCCTTCTAATTGCGAAGTTTGAAAGATTGGCACTGCGTGAACTTCATGGACACACATCATGATTTTCCAAGCAAGTGGACAGCAGTTGCCCCAACAAGCGGTAAAAGCAACCTTACACACAGGAGCACATTGTTGGCTTCTCGCTGCGACATAGTTTGTACGTAAGTTTGCACTGTGGCGGCTGCGGCAGGTTTGGTGGCAGTTTTTCTTTTGCGATTTTGTGCTGGAATTCCTTCTGTGGAAAACGCTTCTGACAATAATGTCGGCAGTGGGGGCCAAGGGGCACTGGGCTGGGCTGGGATACGGCTAGTGCGCCTGTGGAACCCAACTGAATGTTGTCCTGTGTGTTGGCTGTGAATTGTTTTTCTGTATCGCTTGTGTTGGCTTTGCTTGCTCGGAGTACATGTGCAGACCTGCTGCTTTGGCAGCTTGGTTGGGTGGTAGGGAAGCTGTAGAAAAGCGCCTGCTCAATTGAGGCATGTTTTGCTTGTTCTACACCCAAAACCACCCTTTGGTGGACTGGGCTGGCTGCGGTCTGCTTGTTGCCCGGTGTGCTGGCTGCAGCCATGCCTGTGTGGCAAAGTATTTTGCAGGGAAAAAGTGTGTTGTTTGTGTTTGGCAGTTTGGTGCCTTTTAGTAGAGTGGGTTGGAAATCAGCTTTTGATGCATGCCTGTGGAGCTATCATGGGAACACACGTGGCCGTGCTGGCCTTTGTCAATGGGCTGCTTGAAGGTCACTGGTTACGGTGGGGGATCTATTAAAAAAGTGAGTGCATGAAATCTCTCGGTCGTGGCAGTATTGCAGAGCCTGTTTCGGTTTTTGGGGTGTTGAAATCGCATTTGACGGCACAATGGTTTGCAATTGTTCTTTGCGCTGCCTTGTGATCGTGCTGGCCCTGGCCGCATCGCCAGTTGCTGCCCAGCAAGCCGATAGCTTGTCGCAAGAGCAGCTCAAACCGCTAACGGAGTATCGGCAGCAGCATCGCCGCCTGGTGCAGACAAGCCTTTGCCGAATGATGCTGATGCCGCAGCCGGGCTTTTTTGTTTTTCTTCTTTGTGAGAAGCAGGTGGACGGGCGGCTTTGCGCAGCAGCCTTTGTGCAGGTTGAGAGTTGAGAATTTGCTTCCTGCTTAAGCGCGTGCAACCATGGTTTTCGCTTGTATGCTCAGAGGACTCACGCGTTTACACTGGCTGCACTGACGTCACAGCCTGAGACGCTTTCCTCTCACTCATGTCTGGTGTGCTTGCTGCAGCTGTTTCGCCCTGCAGGCGCCTAACCCTCAAGGAGCCAGCGGCCGGGAATGGTGCTACATTGAGCCGCAGGCTGGGTTGTGCTGCTTGGCAAATGCTTTGCTGCCTGGCTGGTGCATGTGGCAGCTGGCAAGTGGGCTGAGCGAAGCGGCGTGGGGATTCTGCGGTGCGCACTGCTTCTCCTTCCCCTTTCCTGCACGGGTGAACGTGGGCATTTGGTTTTGTTGCGTCAGCGCCAGGATGGCTGTTGTAATGCATGCTCACCAAGAACAAGCGGGTGTTAGATATAGCCTTTGTGTTTGCTGGCAGTTGTAGATTATGAAGCCCTTCGAGAAGAAGCAGCTCATGCTGCCAAAGCAAAGGCGCAAACAGTGCGAGAATATGTGGCCAAGCTTGGCAAAGCACAGCGCGCCGCAGAAGAAACGCTGGAGATGTGAGCTTTTGATCCCATGACAGCAGGGCCAGAGTTAGTTGGCCAATGATGTTTTGCAGGTATCGCCGAAGATGCAGTGCTTGAGCTAGGTACAAAAAGCCCGATGCATGCAGAACAGCAAGCCTCCGAGAAAGGCTCAGCAGCAACCCAAATCAAACTTACAGTTGGATATTTTGGAATGGTGGGATGCAAGCGGTGAAACGTATATGCCATACTTGCTACAAGGCCATACTTGCTCCTGTTTCCTTTCTTGTGCAGCAACCTTCTTCCACAAAACCGCATGATCTTGAAACAGTGGCAGTTTCATGAAGCTGCGACTATCCGCAGACACTTGCGAGATCTTGTTAGTACATGCGACCTGCAGAATATCTTGGGTTCATTCAACCAAAGTGTGACCATTGACGGCGGAAATCCAAATCACATGGATAGACATTGGTAGAAATTCAATCCGAATCCTTGTTTCAGCGCTTGCTTGCGCACCTTAGGTCCATTGCCTTCTAATTGCGAAGTTTGAAAGATTGGCACTGCGTGAACTTCATGGACACACATCATGATTTTCCTAAGCAAGTGGACAGCAGTTGCCCCAACAAGCGGTAAAAGCAACCTTACACACAGGAGCACATTGTTGGCTTCTCGCTGCGACATAGTTTGTACGTAAGTTTGCACTGTGGCGGCTGCGGCAGGTTTGGTGGCAGTTTTTCTTTTGCGATTTTGTGCTGGAATTCCTTCTGTGGAAAACGCTTCTGACAATAATGTCGGCAGTGGGGGCCAAGGGGCACTGGGCTGGGCTGGGATACGGCTAGTGCGCCTGCTGTGTAACCCAACTGAATGTTGTCCTGTGTGTTGGCTGTGAATTGTTTTTCTGTGTTGCTTGTGTTGGCTTTGCTTGCTCGGAGTACATGTGCAGCCCTGCTGCTTTGGCAGCTTGGTTGGGTGGTAGGGAAGCTGTAGAAAAGCGCCTGCTCAATTGAGGCATGTTTTGCTTGTTCTACACCCAAAACCACCCTTTGGTGGACTGGGCTGGCTGCGGTCTGCTTGTTGCCCGGTGTGCTGGCTGCAGCCATGCCTGTGTGGCAAAGTATTTTGCAGGGAAAAAGTGTGTTGTTTGTGTTTGGCAGTTTGGTGCCTTTTAGTATAGTGGGTTGGAAATCAGCTTTTGATGCATGCCTGTGGAGCTATCATGGGAACACACGTGGCCGTGCTGGCCTTTGTCAAGGGGCTGCTTGAAGGTCACTGGTTACGGTGGGGGATCTATTAAAAAAGTGAGTGCATGAAATCTCTCGGTCGTGGCAGTATTGCAGAGCCTGTTTCGGTTTTTGGGGTGTTGAAATCGCATTTGACGGCACAATGGTTTGCAATTGTTCTTTGCGATGCCTTGTGATCGTGCTGGCCCTGGCCGCATCGCCAGTTGCTGCCCAGCAAGCCGATAGCTTGTCGCAAGAGCAGCTCAAACCGCTAACGGAGTATCGGCAGCAGCATCGCCGCCTGGTGCAGACAGCCTTTGCCGAATGATGCTGATGCCGCAGCCGGGCTTTTTTGTTTTTCTTCTTTGTGAGAAGCAGGTGGACGGGCGCCTTTGCGCAGCAGCCTTTGTGCAGGTTGAGAGTTGAGAATTTGCTTCCTGCTTAAGCGCGTGCAACCATGGTTTTCGCTTGTATGCTCAGAGGACTCACGCGTTTACACTGGCTGCACTGACGTCACAGCCTGAGACGCTTTCCTCTCACTCATGTCTGGTGTGCTTGCTGCAGCTGTTTCGCCCTGCAGGCGCCTAACCCTCAAGGAGCCAGCGGCCGGGAATGGTGCTACATTGAGCCGCAGGCTGGGTTGTGCTGCTTGGCAAATGCTTTGCTGCCTGGCTGGTGCATGTGGCAGCTGGCAAGTGGGCTGAGCGAAGCGGCGTGGGGATTCTGCGGTGCGCACTGCTTCTCCTTCCCCTTTCCTGCACGGGTGAACGTGGGCATTTGGTTTTGTTGCGTCAGCGCCAGGATGGCTGTTGTAATGCATGCTCACCAAGAACAAGCGGGTGTTAGATATAGCCTTTGTGTTTGCTGGCAGTTGTAGATTATGAAGCCCTTCGAGAAGAAGCAGCTCATGCTGCCAAAGCAAAGGCGCAAACAGTGCGAGAATATGTGGCCAAGCTTGGCAAAGCACAGCGCGCCGCAGAAGAAACGCTGGAGATGTGAGCTTTTGATCCCATGACAGCAGGGCCAGAGTTAGTTGGTCAATGATGTTTTGCAGGTATCGCCGAAGATGCGGTGCTTGAGCTAGGTACAAAAAGCCCGATGCATGCAGAACAGCAAGCCTCCGAGAAAGGCTCAGCAGCAACCCAAATCAAACTTTGCAATGGTGGGATGCAAGCGGTGAAACGTATATGCCATACTTGCTACAAGGCCATACTTGCTCCTTTTTCCTTTCTTGTGCAGCAACCTTCTTCCACAAAACCGCATGATCTTGAAACAGTGGCAGTTTCATGAAGCTGCGACTATCCGCAGACACGTGCGAGATCTTGTTAATTAGTACATGCGACCTAGAGAATATCTTGGGTTCATTCAACCAAAGTGCGACCATTGACGGCGGAAATCCAAATCACATGGATAGACATTGGTAGAAATTCAATCCGAATCCTTGTTTCAGCGCTTGCTTGCACACCTTAGGTCCATTGCCTTCTAATTGCGAAGTTTGAAAGATTGGCACTGCGTGAACTTCATGGACACACATCATGATTTTCCTAAGCAAGTGGACAGCAGTTGCCCAACAAGCGGTAAAAGCAACCTTACACACAGGAGCACATTGTTGGCTTCTCGCTGCGACATAGTTTGTACGTAAGTTTGCACTGTGGCGGCTGCGGCAGGTTTGGTGGCAGTTTTTCTTTTGCGATTTTGTGCTGGAATTCCTTCTGTGGAAAACGCTTCTGACAATAATGTCGGCAGTGGGGGCCCAGGGGCACTGGGCTGGGCTGGGATACGGCCAGTGCGCCTGTGTAACCCAACTGAATGTTGTCCTGTGCGTTGGCTGTGAATTGTTTTTTTCTGTGTTGCTTGTGTTGGCTTTGCTTGCTCGGAGTACATGTGCAGACCTGCTGCTTTGGCAGCTTGGTTGGGTGGTAGGGAAGCTGTAGAAAAGCACCGCTTGCTCAATTGAGGCATGTTTTGCTTGTTCTACACCCAAAACCCCCTTTGGTGGACTGGGCTGGCTGCGGTCTGCTTGTTGCCCGGTGTGTTGGCTGCAGCCATGCCTGTGTGGCAAAGTATTTTGCAGGGAAAAAGTGTGTGGTTTGTGTTTGGCAGTTTGGGCCCTTTTTATGGTGGGTTGGAAATCAGCTTTTGATGCATGCCTGTGGAGCTATCATCGGAACACGCGTGGCCGTGCTGGCCTTTGTCAAGGGGCTGCTTCAAGGTCAATGGTTACGGTGTGGGATCTATTAAAAAAAAGTGAGTGCATGAAATCTCTCGGTCGTGACAGTATTGCAGAGCCTGGTTCCGTTTTTGGGGTGGTGAAATCGCACTTGACCGCACAATGGTTTGCAATTATTCTTTGCGCTGCCTTGTGATCGTGCTGGCCCTGGCTGCATCGCCAGTTGCTGCCCAGCAATCCGATAGCTTGTCGCAAGAGCAGCTCAAACCGCTAACGGAGTATCGGCAGCAGCATCGCCGCCTGGTGCAGACAGCCTTTGCCGAATGATGCTGATGCCGCAGCCGGGCTTTTTTGTTTTTCTTCTTTGTGAGAAGCAGGTGGATGGGCGGCTTTGCGCAGCAGCCTTTGTGCAGGTTGAGAGTTGAGAATTTGCTTCCTGCTTAAGCGCGTGCAACCATGGTTTTCGCTTGTATGCTCAGAGGACTCACGCGTTTACACTGGCTGCACTGACGTCACAGCCTGAGACGCTTTCCTCTCACTCATGTCTGGTGTGCTTGCTGCAGCTGTTTCGCCCTGCAGGCGCCTAACCCTCAAGGAGCCAGCGGCCGGGAATGGTGCTACATTGAGCCGCAGGCTGGGTTGTGCTGCTTGGCAAATGCTTTGCTGCCTGGCTGGTGCATGTGGCAGCTGGCAAGTGGGCTGAGCGAAGCGGCGTGGGGATTCTGCGGTGCGCACTGCTTCTCCTTCCCCTTTCCTGCACGGGTGAACGTGGGCATTTGGTTTTGTTGCGTCAGCGCCAGGATGGCTGTTGTAATGCATGCTCACCAAGAACAAGCGGGTGTTAGATATAGCCTTTGTGTTTGCTGGCAGTTGTAGATTAAGAAGCCCTTCGAGAAGAAGCAGCTCATGCTGCCAAAGCAAAGGCGCAAACAGTGCGAGAATATGTGGCCAAGCTTGGCAAAGCACAGCGCGCCGCAGAAGAAACGCTGGAGATGTGAGCTTTTGATCCCATGACAGCAGGGCCAGAGTTAGTTGGCCAATGATGTTTTGCAGGTATCGCCGAAGATGCGGTGCTTGAGCTAGGTACAAAAAGCCCGATGCATGCAGAACAGCAAGCCTCCGAGAAAGGCTCAGCAGCAACCCAAATCAAACTTTGCAATGGTGGGATGCAAGCGGTGAAACGTATATGCCATACTTGCTACAAGGCCATACTTGCTCCTTTTTCCTTTCTTGTGCAGCAACCTTCTTCCACAAAACCGCATGATCTTGAAACAGTGGCAGTTTCATGAAGCTGCGACTATCCGCAGACACGTGCGAGATCTTGTTAATTAGTACATGCGACCTAGAGAATATCTTGGGTTCATTCAACCAAAGTGTGACCATTGACGGCGGAAATCCAAATCACATGGATAGACATTGGTAGAAATTCAATCCGAATCCTTGTTTCAGCGCTTGCTTGCACACCTTAGGTCCATTGCCTTCTAATTGCGAAGTTTGAAAGATTGGCACTGCGTGAACTTCATGGACACACATCATGATTTTCCGAAGCAAGTGGACAGCAGTTGCCCCAACAAGCGGTAAAAGCAACCTTACACACAGGAGCACATTGTTGGCTTCTCGCTGCGACATAGTTTGTACGTAAGTTTGCACTGTGGCGGCTGCGGCAGGTTTGGTGGCAGTTTTTCTTTTGCGATTTTGTGCTGGAATTCCTTCTGTGGAAAACGCTTCTGACAATAATGTCGGCAGTGGGGGCCAAGGGGCACTGGGCTGGGCTGGGATACGGCTAGTGCGCCTGTGGAACCCAACTGAATGTTGTCCTGTGTGTTGGCTGTGAATTGTTTTTCTGTGTTGCTTGTGTTGGCTTTGCTTGCTCGGAGTACATGTGCAGCCCTGCTGCTTTGGCAGCTTGGTTGGGTGGTAGGGAAGCTGTAGAAAAGCGCCTGCTCAATTGAGGCATGTTTTGCTTGTTCTACACCAAAACCACCCTTTGGTGGACTGGGCTGGCTGCGGTCTGCTTGTTGCCCGGTGTGCTGGCTGCAGCCATGCCTGTGTGGCAAAGTATTTTGCAGGGAAAAAAGTGTGTTGTTTGTGTTTGGCAGTTTGGTGCCTTTTAGTATAGTGGGTTGGAAATCAGCTTTTGATGCATGCCTGTGGAGCTATCATGGGAACACACGTGGCCGTGCTGGCCTTTGTCAAGGGGCTGCTTGAAGGTCATTGGTTACGGTGGGGGATCTATTAAAAAAGTGAGTGCATGAAATCTCTCGGTCGTGGCAGTATTGCAGAGCCTGTTTCGGTTTTTGGGGTGTTGAAATCGCATTTGACGATGCCTTGTGATGCCTTGTGATCGTGCTGGCCCTGGCCGCATCGCCAGTTGCTGCCCAGCAAGCCGATAGCTTGTCGCAAGAGCAGCTCAAACCGCTAACGGAGTATCGGCAGCAGCATCGCCGCCTGGTGCAGACAACCTTTGCCGAATGATGCTGATGCCGCAGCCGGGCTTTTTTGTTTTTCTTCTTTGTGAGAAGCAGGTGGACGGGCGGCTTTGCGCAGCAGCCTTTGTGCAGGTTGAGAGTTGAGAATTTGCTTCCTGCTTAAGCGCGTGCAACCATGGTTTTCGCTTGTATGCTCAGAGGACTCACGCGTTTACACTGGCTGCACTGACGTCATAGCCTGAGACGCTTTCCTCTCACTCATGTCTGGTGTGCTTGCTGCAGCTGTTTCGCCCTGCAGGCGCCTAACCCTCAAGGAGCCAGCGGCCGGGAATGGTGCTACATTGAGCCGCAGGCTGGGTTGTGCTGCTTGGCAAATGCTTTGCGGCCTGGCTGGTGCATGTGGCAGCTGGCAAGTGGGCTGAGCGAAGCGGCATGGGGATTCTGCGGTGCGCACTGCTTCTCCTTCCCCTTTCCTGCACGGGTGAACGTGGGCATTTGGTTTTGTTGCGTCAGCGCCAGGATGGCTGTTGTAATGCATGCTCACCAAGAACAAGCGGGTGTTAGATATAGCCTTTGTGTTTGCTGGCAGTTGTAGATTATGAAGCCCTTCGAGAAGAAGCAGCTCATGCTGCCAAAGCAAAGGCGCAAACAGTGCGAGAATATGTGGCCAAGCTTGGCAAAGCACAGCGCGCCGCAGAAGAAACGCTGGAGATGTGAGCTTTTGATCCCATGACAGCAGGGCCAGAGTTAGTTGGCCAATGATGTTTTGCAGGTATCGCCGAAGATGTGGTGCTTGAGCTAGGTACAAAAAGCCCGATGCATGCAGAACAGCAAGCCTCCGAGAAAGGCTCAGCAGCAACCCAAATCAAACTTTGCAATGGTGGGATGCAAGCGGTGAAACGTATAATATGCCATACTTGCTACAAGGCCATACTTGCTCCTTTTTCTTGTGCAGCAACCTTCTTCCACGAAACCGCATGATCTTGAAACAGTGGCAGTTTCATGAAGCTGCGACTATCCGCAGACACGTGCGAGATCTTGTTAGTACATGCGACCTAGAGAATATCTTGGGTTCATTCAACCAAAGTGCGACCATTGACGGCGGAAATCCAAATCACATGGATAGACATTGGTAGAAATTCAATCCGAATCCTTGTTTCAGCGCTTGCTTGCACACCTTAGGTCCATTGCCTTCTAATTGCGAAGTTTGAAAGATTGGCACTGCGTGAACTTCATGGACACACATCATGATTTTCCGAAGCAAGTGGACAGCAGTTGCCCCAACAAGCGGTAAAAGCAACCTCACACACAGGAGCACATTGTTGGCTTCTCGCTGCGACATAGTTTGTACGTAAGTTTGCACTGTGGCGGCTGCGGCAGGGTTGGTGGCAGTTTTTCTTTTGCGATTTTGTGCTGGAATTCCTTCTGTGGAAAACGCTTCTGACAGTAGTGTCGGCAGTGGGGGCCAAGGGGCACTGGGCTGGGCTGGGATACGGCTAGTGCGCCTGTGGAACCCAACTGAATGTTGTCCTGTGTGTTGGCTGTGAATTGTTTTTCTGTATCGCTTGTGTTGGCTTTGCTTGCTCGGAGTACATGTGCAGACCTGCTGCTTTGGCAGCTTGGTTGGGTGGTAGGGAAGCTGTAGAAAAGCGCCTGCTCAATTGAGGCATGTTTTGCTTGTTCTACACCCAAAACCACCCTTTGGTGGACTGGGCTGGCTGCGGTCTGCTTGTTGCCCGGTGTGCTGGCTGCAGCCATGCCTGTGTGGCAAAGTATTTTGCAGAGAAAAAAGTGTGTTGTTTGTGTTTGGCAGTTTGGTGCCTTTTAGTATAGTGGGTTGGAAATCAGCTTTTGATGCATGCCTGTGGAGCTATCATGGGAACACACGTGGCCGTGCTGGCCTTTGTCAATGGGCTGCTTGAAGGTCACTGGTTACGGTGGGGGATCTATTAAAAAAGTGAGTGCATGAAATCTCTCGGTCGTGGCAGTATTGCAGAGCCTGTTTCTGTGTGGCAAAGTATTTTGCAGGGAAAAAAGTGTGTTGTTTGTGTTTGGCAGTTTGGTGCCTTTTAGTATAGTGGGTTGGAAATCAGCTTTTGATGCATGCCTGTGGGGCTATCATGGGAACACACGTGGCCGTGCTGGCCTTTGTCAATGGGCTGCTTGAAGGTCACTGGTTACGGTGGGGGATCTATTAAAAAAGTGAGTGCATGAAATCTCTCGGTCGTGGCAGTATTGCAGAGCCTGTTTCGGTTTTTGGGGTGTTGAAATCGCATTTGACGATGCCTTGTGATGCCTTGTGATCGTGCTGGCCCTGGCCGCATCGCCAGTTGCTGCCCAGCAAGCCGATAGCTTGTCGCAAGAGCAGCTCAAACCGCTAACGGAGTATCGGCAGCAGCATCGCCGCCTGGTGCAGACAACCTTTGCCGAATGATGCTGATAGCCGGGCTTTTTTGTTTTTCTTCTTTGTGAGAAGCAGGTGGACGGGCGCCTTTGCGCAGCAGCCTTTGTGCAGGTTGAGAGTTGAGAATTTGCTTCCTGCTTAAGCGCGTGCAACCATGGTTTTCGCTTGTATGCTCAGAGGACTCACGCGTTTACACTGGCTGCACTGACGTCACAGCCTGAGACGCTTTCTCATGTCTGGTGTGCTTGCTGCAGCTGTTTCGCCCTGCAGGCGCCTAACCCTCAAGGAGCCAGCGGCCGGGAATGGTGCTACATTGAGCCGCAGGCTGGGTTGTGCTGCTTGGCAAATACTTTGCTGCCTGGCTGGTGCATGTGGCAGCTGGCAAGTGGGCTGAGCGAAGCGGCGTGGGGATTCTGCGGTGCGCACTGCTTCTCCTTCCCCTTTCCTGCACGGGTGAACGTGGGCATTTGGTTTTGTTGCGTCAGCGCCAGGATGGCTGTTGTAATGCATGCTCACCAAGAACAAGCGGGTGTTAGATAGCCTTTGTGTTTGCTGGCAGTTGTAGATTATGAAGCCCTTCGAGAAGAAGCAGCTCATGCTGCCAAAGCAAAGGCGCAAACAGTGCGAGAATATGTGGCCAAGCTTGGCAAAGCACAGCGCGCCGCAGAAGAAACGCTGGAGATGTGAGCTTTTGATCCGATGACAGCGGGGCCAGAGTTAGGTGGCCAATGATGTTTTGCAGGTATCGCCGAAGATGTGGTGCTTGAGCTAGGTACAAAAAGCCCGATGCATGCAGAACAGCAAGCCTCCGAGAAAGGCTCAGCAGCAACCCAAATCAAACTTACAGTTGGATATTTTGGAATGGTGGGATGCAAGCTGTGAAACGTATATGCCATACTTGCTACAAGGCCATACTTGCTCCTTTTTCCTTTCTTGTGCAGCAACCTTCTTCCACAAAACCGCATGATCTTGAAACAGTGGCAGTTTCATGAAGCTGCGACTATCCGCAGACACGTGCGAGATATTGTTAATTAGTACATGCGACCTAGAGAATATCTTGGGTTCATTCAACCAAAGCAGGACAATTGACTGCAGAAATCCAAATCACATGGATAGACACTGGTAGAAATTCAATCCGAATCCTTGTTTCAGCGCTTGCTTGCACACCTTAGGTCCATTGCCTTCTAATTGCGAAGTTTGAAAGATTGGCACTGCGTGAACTTCATGGACACACATCATGATTTTCCTAAGCAAGTGGACAGCAGTTGCCCCAACAAGCGGTAAAAGCAACCTTACACACAGGAGCACATTGTTGGCTTCTCGCTGCGACATAGTTTGTACGTAAGTTTGCACTGCGGCGGCTGCGGCAGGTTTGGTGGCAGTTTTTCTTTTGCGA